GCTTTCATCAGGTGCTCTGCGAAGTCCATTTTGCACTTTATGTGCATAGGATGTCCCAAAAATACATTTATTGCACGGTCATGACTTTGTCATGTGAATGGCGTGTGAGAAAATATTGGAAAATAACTAGCTATGAACAAACCAAAAAAGAGAGACAAAGGTTGGATTGGTTTGATTACTTAAGAGTCAGATTGAAATATGGGTATTCATTTTCTTTCAGAGTCACTAGTATACTCTTTGGCTAACTGAATTATGGTCAGATATTTGACATAAAAAGGTACACCAACACCTTTACAAGTATTCACTTAAAGAATCCATTATAGCAGTCTACTATATACTTAATTTATCTGCAAAGTTCATACACTTTGAAGATCTTTAATTGATAGATATATATATATATATATATATATAGCGAGAGAGAGAGAGAGAGAGAGAAAACATCTACAGCACTCTGCTGCGTAAAACAGCTCTTGAAAAGACTTGCCAAACCAGAATATCAAGTTTTGATTAAAAAGGTATGTAAACAGGCCTTCCATTTAAGTGGAGGCAAGTTGAAACAGTTGTCAGAATAGCTGTGCTTCTTATTTCTAGGTCACATTGTTTCAGTGTTCAGACACAAATTGCAGTCCAGACTATAGAATATATTATGACAAATTCCGAAACAGTAGGCAAAAACAAAGTATAGCTGGGAACTTTCTAAATGAGCTAAACACCAGAGAGGCACCACATAGTTTTTTTGAGGCAACTTGCCAGAATTTTCCATAGCATTCCCAGGAAACAAAATGAACTTGTTAGGACTTGAAAAATGTTTTAGTGAGATTCAAACATCAAGGATTTTGGCTATGATCTGTGACACATCAGAAAGAGCACTATCTGTCTATACCTGCATCATACGCGCATCTCAATAAATTCCCTTTATTTCCTGTATTTAATACCATTAGCACAAGTCCCATTTTATCTTGCCCTCAAAAGTATAATCCTCTGTTTGACTCTCCTCATTGAGAATAATGATACCACAATTTCTGAAATATTTTGTTCCTTGGCTTACAATTTTTCCCTTTTGTGATGTTTGTTTATATAGATAAAGTATTGCTATATCTTTGGGGATTTTTCTTATAACCCTTGGGGGTTGCAGGTTCAAATCCCGGCAGGGTTGACTCAGCCCTTCATCCTTCCGAGGTAGATATAATGAGTAACATTAAATTGGGTAATAGTAACATCCCCTGGATGTTGGGCAAAAGTAACACCCCCCAGGACGTACTTGGAAACCAGAGCAATCTAAATGTGCCTTATCTGGTTAAATACTTTATTATTATTGCCTGAAGGCTATTAAGTATTTATTTTGTACAGTACAAATCATAATGCACACTTTGTGAAACTGGCACAGAAAATATCATGCTCTATTATGTATTATATTTGTACAAAATGACCATTTGTAGAATTGGGCACCTGTGTGCATTTAATGATATGTGTGAATACAGTACATATGGGTAGTGGACCTTTATATCTAAGCACAGGCCAAATGGACAAGCTACGGTAGTGCTAGCAGCTTGGATTATGCAGTCTCTCGATTGAACTTTACCCCAAATTCCTTTTAAAATAAGGGTTTCTTAAAGGACCATTAACTGTATCCAGACCATTTCATGTCAATAAAGTGGCCCAAGTACAGTGGACCTTTAGTTTTAACCCTGCAATGTAAACCATTGCAGTTTTGAACATCTTTTCAAACTTCAAAAATGTTATGTCAGCCACTAGAGGAGCTTCCCTGTGAGAATCGAGTCACACTATTTCAATAAAATGCAGCTAATAGAGAAGCATTTGATTGGTGCAATGTACAATTTACTGCACATGCACACAAGCCTCCCAATGCCTTCCCATTTCCTCTGGGAAAGCATTGGATTGGCTGAGATTATCAATCATAACGATCTCAGGCAGGGAGCTGGAATGCTGCGGAGCGGTGATGAAGGGGGCTCCTAAAATGGTGAGCTACGTTTGTATTCTTAATACTATAGTGTCATTTTAACTGCACAAAGAAGATACAATCTCATAAGACAACTGAGTATCTATTTAGAAAATACCAGTCATGTTTTTAGAGCTGTTACCATTGTGAAACATTTTCTATTTTTTTTTTAAATATACATTTTTCATACACAACAGCACTCAAAGAATAAAAACAAACCTGTATAATTAGCAAGAGCAACGGATAAAGCCCTGTCATGGTAGCTCAACTGATTTGTTAAAATATTTTGCAAATGGAGAAACACAAATATAACATTTAGATCATTCAGATAGATTAACTGGTGTTATAAGACAAAGATCAGCAGAAGGGACAAAGTTGAAAAAAGGAAGGAATAAAGATCTGAATTTTGAACTGTCAGTAATGCCAAAATAATAATTTTATCACCAAACAGGTCCCAAACTATTAAGTACTTGGTCACAGCCTAAACAAAATATCTTACTGCTTTTTTTTTTAACCTAAAGATGTTAAAGAGCTTAAACTTTGATGTGCTAAACAGGAAGCATAATTGATGCAAAAAAATTCACTTAAAAATAAAAAAGTACTTATAAAAGTTATATTAAAATTGTTTGCCATCAGCCACTTAGTAATCAAATGGCATGGGCCTCTTTGCTAAAACAAACTACAGCTAAATTTTATTTTGCAAAACTGCTTCTTCATTGCTTTTCCATGTGGTTGACCAAGGAAGGAGAGAAATAACAGACAGTAGTCAAAACAGATTTTCATACTCATGTAAAAGACTGAAATCTGAAAATTTGAGCAATTTGCAACATCTTACAAAGTTACTTTTGTAACATCATGAATTTCTTTTGTGAACATACTGGGACAAAATTAAGCAAGTCAAATACTCTGTTGTAATTAAATGGACACTACAGACACCCTAACAACTTCATTGGAATGACGCTGTAATGGTGCAAGGTAGTCAACAGGTGGCTGCTTACCTTAAAACAGTTAACAAGTCATTTAACTTTAAAGTTTCGAATTTAGTGGCCGAACACTTTGCCCACTAACATCTACCGCAGTCCGAGGCTTAAATAGGTAAGACTCTTGACAGTCAGGCCCGCCACCAGAAATTTTGGGGCCCCTGACAAAGCACAAGGTCTGGGCCCCCCACCCCACCCACGAGTCTGCCCACAGGACTCCTACCTAGTCCGCTGACAATGATGCAGGACTGAATGTGGTGTGTATAGTGGAAGTGAATTAGAATGTGTGTAATGGATGTAGTGTTTGTGTGTATTAGATACTGTTTGTGCAGTGAATGCAGAGTGTGTGTTTGTATAGCGGATGCAGTGTGTATAGTGAACGCAGAGTGTGTGAGTAGTGGATGCAGTGTGTGTATTAGATGCAGTGTCTCTGTATAGTGAATGCAGAGTGTTTGAATGTGTGGTGGATGTAGTGTGTGTACTGTGAATACAGGATGTTTGTTTAGTGGCTGCTGTGTGTATAGTTAATACAGATTGTGTGTCAGTGGAGTGGATGCAGAGTGTGTGCCAGTGGGGTGAATGCAGAGTGTGTGTCAGTGTAGTGAATGCAGAGTGTGTGTCAGTGTAGTGAATGCAGAGTGTGTGTCAGTGTAGTGGATGCAGAGTGTGTGCCAGTGTAGTGGATGCAGAGTGTGTGTCAGTGTAGTGGATGCAGTGTGTGTGTCAGTGTAGTGGATGCAGTGTGTGTGTCAGTGTAGTGGATGCAGAGTGTGTGTCAGTGTAGTGGATGCAGAGTGTGTGTCAGTGTAGTGGATGCAGAGTGTGTGTCAGTGTAGTGGATGCAGAGTGTGTGCCAGTGTAGTGGATGCAGAGTGTGTGCAGTGTAGTGGATGCAGAGTGTGTGCCAGTGTAGTGGATGCAGAGTGTGTGCCAGTGTAGTGGATGCAGAGTGTGTGCCAGTGTAGTGGATGCAGAGTGTGTGCCAGTGTAGTGGATGCAGAGTGTGTGCCAGTGTAGTGGATGCAGAGTGTGTGTCAGTGTAGTGGATGCAGAGTGTGTGTCAGTGTAGTGGATGCAGAGTGTGTGTCAGTGTAGTGGATGCAGAGTGTGAGTGTGCAGTGTAGTGGATGCAGTGTAGTGTGTGCCAGTGTAGTGGATGCAGAGTGTGTGCCAGTGTAGTGGATGCAGAGTGTGTGCCAGTGTAGTGGATGCAGAGTGTGTGTCAGTGTAGTGGATGCAGAGTGTGTGCCAGTGTAGTGGATGCAGAGTGTGTGCCAGTGTAGTGGATGCAGAGTGTGTGCCAGTGTAGTGGATGCAGAGTGTGTGCCAGTGTAGTGGATGCAGAGTGTGTGCCAGTGTAGTGGATGCAGAGTGTGTGCAGACAGTGTAGTGGATGCAGAGTGTGTGCCAGTGTAGTGGATGCAGAGTGTGTGCCAGTGTAGTGGATGCAGAGTGTGTGCCAGTGTAGTGGATGCAGAGTGTGTGCCAGTGTAGTGGATGCAGAGTGTGTGCCAGTGTAGTGGATGCAGAGTGTGTGTCAGTGTAGTGGATGCAGTGTGTGTGTCAGTGTAGTGGATGCAGTGTGTGTGTCAGTGTAGTGGATGCAGTGTGTGTGTCAGTGTAGTGGATGCAGAGTGTGTGTCAGTGTAGTGAATGCAGACTGTGTGTGTTTACTAGTGTATGCATGTAATGTAATGAAAGTTATTCCCCCCTCCCTTTTTCTTACCTGGTTCAAGGAGGGGGGAGATTCCATCCCTGGTGGTCCGGTGGAATGGTGGGGCCCCCTGGCTCCCTGTATTTGCAGAGGAGGCCCAGCGGACTGCAGTAGCACATTAGAGATCTTCCCTGTCTCTAACTCCCGCGAGAGGTGGTGTGCGCACCGCGCAGAGCGTTGCCATGGTAACCAGTGGCAACGCTCTAACGGACGCACGTCTCGCGGGAGTTAGAGACAGGGAAGATCTCTAATGTGCTAATGCAGTCTGCTGGGCCCCCTCTGCAAGTATAGGGAGCCGGGGTCCCGCGGCTGCACATATATATAGCGATGATCACTATATATATGCGCAGAGAGTAATTGTGGGGCCATGGACTGCCAAAGCAGTCTGGGCCCCCCAGGACCGCCGAGCCCATGACAACAGTCATGGTTGTCACCCCCTAATGGCGGCCCTGTTGACAGTGGTGCCATTAATAAGCTGACAGATTCAGGTCTTTTTGCGAATGGAGAGCAACTGAGAGGTGGACCACGTTTATCTGAAGTTTTCAGAAGCGTCCCTGTCTGAAAGCCTCCTAATTCAAGCATAGAACTCCAGCGGATGTTTGTGGTTAGAGCTATAAAATGTCAGATTCAACACTGGGGTTGAACCAGCCTATAGTGGTTTTAACCTCTTGAGGTAAGTCGGTGACAGGTGACCTCCTTAGACTATAACAACTTCATTACGATTAAGTTGTTATGGCTCCTGGAGTGTTCACTTTAATATGCAGTAAATATAGACAGAAGAAGAAAGTCACAGAGAGGGATAAGGTAGTATGTTTTGCTCAGAAATAGTTTCAAAAAAACTTATCACTAGTAATAAAAATAAACCTTAGTTCCATGCATTTTCAATCTAAAATCTCAGAGTGAATATGTAGACTCAAACAATTTCATACTGTATTATTTGTAGAATAAAATACCGAAGAAACAAATGGCAACCAACTGTTACTATTTCTTAAACGTAAATAAAACGTCCTTAAACTTTCAGGATTATTTTACATTTGTGATAGTTTATAATAGTTTTGTGGGGACCTATATATTTGGGGGAGTGCAACTGCATCCTCCCCTTCTCAATTAACTATATTACAGTTGATGAAGACTGGTATACAGCGAGTGGTTAACGTGTATGTTGCTCCAACAGAGAGGTTTCTCAATGAGAAGCATCTGATTGGAGTATTCACTAGAACCAGGGCACGATTAACCATTAACCACAGTAGGCACCTTCATACAGGTGTATGTCCTCTAGGGGATACCTGTTTTCATCACTTTTATTGTACTCCTTTTTTGGGCTCAAGCGGTTATGTTGGGAGGTAAGTACCAGGGACCCATGGCAAGTGTACTTCATAGCCCAGTCAGCCTCATATGCCTGAAAGCAGAGCTGCAGGAACAGTTTTAGAGAGTGTTGAATCATTATCGCCCCAGCTCCTCCAGTGTATGTTTGTGTAGTTGGACAGGAAGTGGAAGAGATCACTACCAGTAACCAGTAAAGGATCACTATAGTGTCAGGAAAACAAAGCGGTTTTCCTGACACTATAGTGCTCTGAGTGTGCCCCTGCTGTGGCGCTGAATGGGTTACAACCCCTTCAGCCACTTACCTTATTCCAGCGCCGGGCTCCCTCGGCGCTGGTGACCTCTCCTCCCCCGCCGACGTCAGCGGAGCTGAAAGCGCATAGAATTTTTCCAAATTTTCGTTTGGTGTATATAAACTTTTTAGTCTAGATAAGACCTAAGCAAGTATTTAAAGGCAGAATCCATGCACGTTTAATACTTGATGGCATGATTATGGTGCCTAATATGTCTCTTTAACCCCTTAAGGACCAAACTTCTGGAATAAAAGGGAATCATGACATGTCACACATGTCATGTGTCCTTAAGGGGTTAAACAATTTGAAAGGTTTGCTTACATCATTTTTTCCAATGTAAATCACATTATATGTGTTTTAATGAACACCACAAAGCCTGATTTTGTGGGAGTGCCTGTAAACCTCACTAATTTAAGAGCAAGCATTGCATATTATTCAGTTATGCCTAGAGGTGTGGTATAGGCTGAATAATGTATATTAAATAAACTGAATTCAGGTTTACAACATTCAGGGTAACATGTTTAATTCTGCGAAAACGATACACATACACACAGATCTCATAAATTATGTAAAAGAAAACAGCTGTTTAAAACAAATAAAAATAAAAACAAAAAAGGATCCCACATTAAGAAGCTAATCATTATATAACCTCACAACATACCTAAATCTTCTCTTTTCAAGTTAGACACTTTTAAGGCTATGTGTATCTTGTTTTGTATAGATCCTCTGATCCTTTCATGTATGATTGAGACCGATTGTATAATGCTGGTCATGTCAACACTACCCAATTAAAGTGTGCTAGTTTTGGTAAATGCTTCACTGCTAGACATTTCTCCTATGTGATTTTATCTGGGCATTACGAATCTGAGAATCAACTAAGTAAATAAACCCTTAACATCAAGGATCTCCATTACTAATGCCTGTATAAATGTCAATGTACACGCTATATAGCAGAATAGATTTTGATTGTAAATATGAAACAGTTTATTTTATAAAAATCTAAATAACTTGCCTTGCTCTATCATGTAAAAAAATCTAAAACACTAACTCAGAATAGTTCTTATAAAACCTTTTATCTTGACTAAAAGGTTGAACTTGGAGCACATATTTGCATTAGATTCAGTCACCTAAAATCTCTCCATTAGTGTAACAATTCAAATACCAAATGTGGCTCCTTTGTCATTGTTCCTCAGCCCTAAATACAACATGGAAATCACAATAATCAAGCAAATGAATATAGAAAGAAGTAGGTACTGAAATATAAGTATTTCATATTAATAATAAGCAGGGACTCTACCTATAAGGAAATGTAGTCATAGTCCACTCAAGTACAAATTCAAATCCACTACATAAAACAATTCACTTTGCAATTTAACCACTGTACACACTTGAAAGCTTTCAAACTATAACAAATGTATTAAATGTAAACTATACAAACAGATAAGTAGAGTCATGTCAACAGGAAAAAAACACAATAGAAAGAAAAAATGCCAAGTGCAAGTGTCACATTGATTGAAATTTGCAATCACATCCATAGTCAATGGATCTTACTGCGCAGCGAAGCAATCTATTTTGCTTTGCAAGGAGCATCTTACCGCCCCTAGTTGCATGAAGAAAGTAGGGTGAGAATTCTGGAATTTAAATATATGCCCTTTCAAGAAACCAATATTTGTTCTTTGTTTATGAGCCTTTTACCCACAATTTATAAAAACAACAGAAGTGTACACAATATTTTTTCTGTTTTCTATTCTATGAACATATGTCATTAAAGAAACTAACAATATAGTGCTCTTTGCCCACCCGGCACATAAAGGGTTAAATAACCCTTTATTCACTTACACGATTGTAGTGCAGAGATCCATGGCCTACTCCTCCGACGGGGCGACCTAATGCGTATGCATGGCAAGTGCAGGATGTCCAGCATACTTTCACAGAAACTAAAGGAAGTGATTCTAATAGAAATCTGCACCTTTATAAAGTGTAAATATTATGGGAGAGTGCTCACCCATAAAGAACTTCAGCAAGCTGATGTGCCCCTGTATAGGTGTGGTGGAGTGGTCCTTTAAAAGGAGCTTTGCAAGTTGAACTACCTCACAAAGGTGAATCATGTTAATAATCTATGTATTTAAAAAGGGATGATAATAAAAGTCCCTGTTGGTGTAATAGCCAGGTGCCCCAGTACTTTGGTCCATATAGTGCATATCTGATCCTTATTGTGAAGACTTATTTTTTCACTTGGTTTTAGCATGTATAGTGAAAACAAGCATTTTCCTGCCTTTTTAACACACTGAGATTTTCTTGCATACTTTGTTAACCTCATGTGGGAAATATAATGCCTAATATGTCTCTCTGCTATGTATTTTGAGTACAGAAATACCCCTATGTGTACATTTGTCAGGTGTAGGTGGATGTTTAAGGGGCAAATATGAGACGAGCATTTCAGGTTATTTTCAAAACTTTTAATTTTGATGCTAGGACTATATCCCATTTTGGAGCATTCTGGCAGGTTGCTTGTTCAAACTACCCTGCCATTTTTTAAACAAGACATCTCAGGGTATCTCAAATAGCATATTCTGACCCTTACCGTGGGCCGTTTGCTAGTTTGTACCTAGTGTAGTTTTTGTAACATTTTAGAGCATTTCTGCAGACCATGACTGCAGATTACCCCACAAATGCCACATCTATTTTCAAATTATGCACCGAGGCATACTATTTGCTGTCAATGTGGGAATATTTGGTTTACTTTTATCAAAGAATTTTCAGTCATCTCTTATCATGGGCAGCTTGGGAAATCATGACTTTCTCCTGTGGGCCCTGCAGTTTCAGGCAAATAATTCCTGCATTCAGCTGCGTCAAACTCTGAGTCCTCTGCCTGAATTCTGTAAGCATTAAATTAAACAGATTTTCTTATTTTAGGCCAAATTAGCCAAACTGAAAAAAAAATTTTGTTTGTTTGTTTTTCCTAGTTTATAGTTATTATAACCTAAAATATGAAATTCACTGTAAGCGGTTGACAATTAAAAAGTATAAAATTAATAAAAATTATAGAAAAAAATATTTTAAAATCATTTGAGGAAAAAAGGTCATTTGCAATTTTGGTTTTCGGTCAATGGCATCCTGAATTTTCGGTTTCAGCCCAGAATTTTCATTTCGGTGCATCCCTAAACAGAAGATCTTTAACTAACAAAAAATGAATTCAGATTATGTTGGGTACATTTGCTCTTTTAATTGTCCTCCATGTGATACACCTTAAAACACTTAATGCAAAGGTCACGCATTCAGGGCACTGGAAGCTGGTTTCCATTCTTATGCCATTCTAATAACAGACGCTGCATCTCTTCTGTAGGACTTTTTTTCAGAGGGTTGGCAGAATCCTAAAGAAAAATGATCTGCCTCAATCCTTTCACTTGCCAAATCTACAGATGGACCGTCACTTTGTGCATTTCAGTTCAACATTTGCCTTATGGAACAGAATAAAAGGCATTGTGGATTGCCATTTGCATCAAATGCTCACTTTTTTATACCATGCCTGTGTTTTCCTCTTGATTAGGTACAGCAGCATTAACTGATTTGACAAGTCCACTTCCCTCATGTGCCTGTTATGTTTAATGAAGACAGGTACTTGCTTGGTTTCCCCTGTTCCACAGATGTGATCATGCGGAGCATGTATGGTGTCCCCGACGGAAGTTTTTCTCAGTAGAGAACCGCTGATTTGCACTTTTTTAGTATATTTTGTGCCAGTGGTTAAAATCATTGGCTGTACCTGTCTTCTGCATCTTGGGCAGTGTCAGAGGAATCAGCACTTGCTTCTAGCTCAGGCACATATTCGTATTCACCTGCGTCACTCCCTGAGGTGCTATGAGTTGCCTCTGAATCAGCAGTTTAAAAATTGTATAAGCCTTCTTGGCTGTAAACTTTCTAAGTATTTTCAGACTAAAATTTAACTACAACTAAACAACCTTAAAAATTAGTTTTTTGCTTTTAAAAAAAAAACCCAAAAAACTGTTTTCAAACTTTTTTTCTTTTAATCCCTAACTAATCTAACATTAAATTTCCCAATAACTTCTACCCACCCCAGCTAACTTGAATCACCAAATAAAAAAATAAAAAAATCCCAAGGGCAAAAAACAAATATAAAGTAAAAGTTAACCCCTGAGGGTGGAAAAAACTATCACATTAAAGTATTGTGAACTGAACTCTGATCGTGGCAAGCAGGGGAAGAGTTAAGAATCTGGTTTTGAGGCATACAAGGGGTTTTAATTTCACTGCAACAATTTTATCAGGAAAAACACACAATGTAGATCTCCAATTTCATAATTTTCAAAGTCAGGCTGCTATGATACATCAATGTTCAGCAATTCAGTTAACTATCTTATGGTGTACAGAATTAAAAATGTTTAATTCTGTCAAACCTGAATTCTGGAACAAACTGCTTGCAATTTAGATGTTAGTACATAACCTAAAGGGACCTGAATGTAAGTTAACCAAAAGGACAAAGCGGAGACATTAGCCACAAGAATAATATTTAGAGAACTGCCGAAATTTTGTTTGGCGGTGTGGGGATGGGAGTAATTCAATTAAAGTATTACAATCATATTTCTACAGTTTCTGAAAATGTCTTCACCATAAAATGTATTTATACATAGTATTGTAAATTATCTGCAAGGATTACACCCTTCCTGGTTTTTACGATGGCAACACACGTGAATGATTTCGCTAAATATAAAACCATGCAATGCAATCATTGCTAGACTAAAGCAACCACTTTTTGACTAAAAATGGGTGAAGTTTAACAAATTGTGCAGCTCTCTATATACTATATAATTTGTTGATACAAAACTAGGCATGTAATTATCATATTTACTGCTTGCAACTGCGTAACACTTTGCAGCATTCACATTTATAAAGACAAGTCACAAAATCTTGGGATTCTAAACAAAGGTAATTTTATTTTTATTTCCACAACTAGATTGAACACACGTACAGGTTATATACATTTTTTTTTATCCAACTATTTATAGGTAAGAGTTCACAGAAAGAAAATGTTTCCATTTGAAATTCAGTGAGGAGCGGTGTTCTAAAATGTACATGTGACAGGCTGCCAGTACTCAACTTTCAGCCTTTACCCTGTATGTGCAGGAATCTGCCCTCTCAGCAAACAGCCACAGTTACGTGTAGCCTTTTGATGGCAGCTCTGCCAGCCAAATTCCCACACAGGCTTATTACTCACAGGCTAGTCTGTTTGGAAACTGATATAGAAGCTCTAAACAACACCCCCCCTCCCTACACACACACACACACACACACACACAAACCATGCTACAAACACTACCCTGTTCCCTCCCTCATTCCAGTAACAACTGGTGAAAATATTTAACCCTTCCCCCTAAACCAAAACAAGGTGGCATTTGGTCTCAATATGGGTCTACGGAGCACTGCTTACTTTACAGAATCCCACACTTGGGAAATGGTAAACAAATAACACACCCTGTTGCATACAGAGTAGAATTACTCTCTACAGTCCCTGGACCACACTTGATATGCAGAGATAATAGTTCAGGGAAACTTTAAGCTATGAGAAAATTTCAAAAACTGGGCCCCCATGTTATATTAGTAGATCCCCAATATTTGAAAATAACGCATTATGTCCATCAGGCTCTATGCAATTGCCCCCTGTAGTAGCACTGCCTTTTCCAGTCTAACAGCCAACAACCTGTTACTATCCTGTTTCTGCACCCTTTTCAAGGGCTGCCGCATCTTTTGGAATGCCTTCCTGCAACACATTCAAAAGTTCCAGTCTCTGCAGTCATTTAAAAAAAAATCCCTAAAAGCACACTACTTTAGAGAAGGGTATCAGCTCACCCTTTAACTCCTTATCTTGTGCTACCTTCCCTGCAGTCTCATCTACTATGCTCCTTCCTTCCAGGTACATACAGATCAATTGATTACCTCACTTCTGTGTAATATTACTTAGGCAGGGCCCTGTTCATCTGTCAAACATGATAGAATTGTCTTGTTTACCTATTGTACAGCGCTGTGAAATATATTTGCACTATATAAATAAATGTACTGGACACACATTAATATATAAGGGGCAATCACTGTCACTGTGCTAACAGTTTCATAAAGGATCACGAAGCATATAAAGTACTTAACTTGGGTCACAGTGGGGGGGGGGGGAATTATAAATTGATAAATTAAATATGCTGTAACATTTTTAACCCCTTAAGGACCAAACTTCTGTTATAAAAGGGAATCATGACATGTCACACATGTCATGTGTCCTTATGGGGTTAAAAATCATGCTTTTTTAAATCTATATAGCAATTGCTCAGACTGATTCAGTGATGGATAACCTTTGGCACTGCAGTTAGGTGCAATCTTTCACATGCCCCTCAGTGAACCGTCCATCTAATTAAATGTCTTGGGACATTTTATTAATAAAAACATTTTACCAGGAAGGATACATTGAAATTTCTCTGGTTTTCAAGTATGACATGCAAACCACTCTAACTGAAACATTTCCATCATTAAGCTAATGACAAGTACAATTCCTGCAACAATTTATACAAATAAATGTAAAACCTCTATGTCAAACTCTGCCAACTAATGAAATAAGTTTACTCTGTATCTGGAACCATTAGTTCCACTCTACACATTTCATAAACATTGCTAAACAAATAATTATTCCTGTACAGAGTTACCAAACTCCTGTAAAGTTTGTAAGGAAGACAGAGTTCTACAGGAACCAAACTTCTTGTTATTTTATGGCATAGAATCCGCATACATTCTAAGAACACTAAAATAAAAGTTATTATTCAGCATTAGCAGCAGTGTGAGTCCTAGCTAAGTGAGTGCACTCTGTGAATCCTTACTCTGGGGTAAACAATGTGAGCACATTTCAGTTCAGTGAGGGGCACAGAGCCCAGATTTGTTCCCCCCTTATAGGATTGTTGTTGCTGTGTCTGGGGGAGGGGGTAGGGGACCCTGTGTAGCCGGGGAGGGTGCCAGGTTGCCCCCAGGCATGCTGTGGCCTCTCCCCTGCTCTCTCACAATACGTTCTTACTTACAAAGCGTTTCAACTTTTTCTCCGGCGGTGATTTACGGAGCCATCCCGAGCAGACCACCTCCCCGCCGCCGCCGGCTCCAACTCCTCCGCCACTCCCCGAGCTCATCATGCTAGTCCGGCTGTGCCCGGCTCACTGTGCCCGCTCAGACCCGGGGGCTTCCAGGCTCGATCCTCCAACCAGCACCTCCTGCTGCTGCTACAGCTGGATCCCTTCTTCTCCTTCCCCGGGATTAACCCCTCGGCAGCCGGGGAGATTATGGACACACACAGCGCTGTATCTCCGGATTGAGAAACTTTCCAGTCCGGCCCGTGTGAGGAAGCCCGGAATCCGGGAGTGAACTAGATCCCGCTCCCCGCCCTCCGCCGGGAACTCTACCACAGCGGCTCCAGCTCCCATCCAGCGCAGGGAGGCCGTGACGTCACCACTGACCTCACCGAGTCATGTGACTCCCAGAGTCTCAGCCCTGGGAGTGCTGGGCGGGAGAGAGGCATGGGTGGCTGGGATAGACCGAGAGAGACAGGCTGCCTGGGAGCGGGGGAGAGAGAGGGGCCACCAGGGAGTATAATAGAGAGAGAGGGGCCGCCTGGAAGTGCAATAGAGAGAGGGGCCGCCTGGGAGTGGAGTAGGGAGAGAGAGGGGCTGCCTGGGGCAGGATAGAGAGAGGGGCCACCTGGGAGCGAAAAAGAGAGTGGGGCCGTCTAGAAGTGGGTTAGAGAGAGAGAGGGGCCACCAGGGAGTGTAAGAGAGAGAGAGGGGGGGCGCCTGGGAGTGCAATAGAGAGAGAGTGGGGCTGTCTAGGAGTGGGAGAGAGAGAGAGGGGCTGCCTCGGAGTGGAATAGGGAGAAAGAGAGGGGCCGCCTGGGAGTGGAATAGAAAGAGAGAGAGGGGCCGCCTGGGAGTGGAATAGAAAGAGAGAGAGGGGCCGCCTAGGAGTGGAATAGAGAGAGAGGGGGGCTGCCTCGGAGTGGAATAGGGAGAAAGAGAGGGGCCGCATGGGAGTGGAATAGAGAGAGAGGGGGGGGCTGGCTGGGAGTGGGATAGAGAGAGAGAGGGGCCGCCTGGGAGGGATAGGAGAGAGGGGGGCCGCCTGGGGAGGATACAGAGAGAGAGGGCAGCCTGTGAGTGATAGAGAGAGAGAAGGGAGCCTGGGAGAGGAGAGAGAGGGAGGGGCTGCCTGGGAGTGGAATAGAGAGAGGGGCCGCCTGGGAGTGAAATAGAGAGAGTGGGGCCACCTGGGAGTGTACTAGAGAGTGGGGCCACCTGGGAGTGGAATAGAGAGTGGGGCCGCCTGGGAGTGGAATAGAAAGAGAGAGAGGGGCCGCCTGGGAGTGGAATAGAAAGAGAGAGAGGGGCCGCCTGGGAGTGGAATAGAAAGAGAGAGAGGGGCCGCCTAGGAGTGGAATAGAGAGAGAGGGGGGCTGCCTCGGAGTGGAATAGGGAGAAAGAGAGGGGCCGCATGGGAGTGGAATAGAGAGAGAGGGGGGGGCTGGCTGGGAGTGGGATAGAGAGAGAGAGGGGCCGCCTGGGGAGTGGATAGAGAGAGAGCCTGGGAGGGATAGAGAGGGGCCGCCTGGGAGTGGGATAGAGAGAGAGAGGGGCAGCCTGGGAGTGGGATAGAGAGAGAGAAGGGCAGCCTGGGAGTGGAATAGAGAGGGAGGGGCTGCCTGGGAGTGGAATAGAGAGAGGGGCCGCCTGGGAGTGAAATAGAGAGAGTGGGGCCACCTGGGAGTGGAATAGAGAGAGTGGGGCCACCTGGGAGTGGAATAGAGAGTGGGCCCGCCTGGTAGTGGAATAGAGAGAGAGAGGGGCCGCCTGGGAGTGGAATAGAGAGAGAGAGAGGGGCCGCCTGGGAGTGTAATAGAGAGAGAGAGGGGCTGCCTGGGAGTGTAATAGAGAGAGAGAGGGGCCGCCTGGGAGTGCAATAGAGAGAGAGAGGGGCTGCCTGGGGCAGGATAGAGAGAGGGGCTGCCTGTGGCAGGATAGAGAGAGGGGCTGCCTGGGGCTGGATAGAGAGAGGGGCCGCCTGGGAGCGAAAAAGAGAGTGGGGCCGTCTAGGAGTGGGTTAGAGAGAGAGAGGGGCCACCAGGGAGTGCAATAGAGAGAGAGTGGGGCTGTCTAGGAGTGGGAGAGAGAGAGAGGGGCTGCCTCGGAGTGGAATAGGGAGAAAGAGGGGCCTCCTGGAAGTGGGTTAGAGAGAGAGAGGGGCCACCAGGGAGTGGAATAGAAAGAGAGAGGGGCCGCCTGGGAGTGGAATAGAGAGAGAGAGAGGCCGCCTGGGAGTGGAATAGAGAGAGAGAGGGGCCTCCTGGAAGTGGAATAGAGAGAGAGTGGGGCCGTCGGGGAGTGAAATAGAGAGAGTGGGGCCGTCTGGGAGTGGGGGAGAGAGAGAGAGAGGGGCCGCCTGGGAGTGCAAGAGAGAGAGAGAGAGAGAGGGGCCGCCTGGGAGTTGAATAGAGAGAGAGAGGGGCCTCCTGGAAGTGGAATAGAGAGAGAGTGGGGCCGCTTGGGAGTGGTATAGAGAGAGAGTGGGGCCGTCGGGGAGTGAAATAGAGAGAGTGGGGCCGTCTGGGAGTGGGGGAGAGAGAGAGAGAGGGGCCACCTGGGAGTGCAATAGAGAGAGAGGGGCCACCTGGGAGTTGAATAGAGAGAGAGAGGGGCCGCCTAGGAGTGTAATAGAGAGAGAGAGGGGCCGCCTAGGAGTGTAATAGAGAGAGAAAGTGGGACCGCCTGGGAGTGTAATAGAGAGAGAGGGGCTGCCTGGGAGTGGAATATGGAGAGAGGGTCACCTGGGAGTGGAATATGGAGAAAGGGTCACCTGGGAGTGGACTATAGAGAGAGTTGGGCCGCCTGGGAGAAGGAATAGAGAGAGAGTGGAGCCGCCTGGAAGTGGAATAGAGAGAGGGGGGCTGTTTAGTAGCAGACAGGAGGTAATGGAAGCCGGCATTGGAGTATGATACTTTTATGATTGCTTTATAATATGGTAACTGAGGTTTTCCCCAGTTTTCATGCTAGTGTGTGAAGTAATTTGTCACTTTTGCTTTCTAATAGTTCTAGTGTTATGTTGTGCTTTCTGGTTAGAACCACACTGCTCTGTAATAATTTTTTAATTGGTGTTTTTTGTCCCTCTAATTCCCCTTGTTTTTTTATTTTGTATTTAAATTCACAAAAGCTTCCATTTGATATGTAAGAAAAAGTAGGGACAATATGTAGAGCATGATCTTTGGCATGTTTGTAATAGAAAATTTAATTCATACTTACCAATATTTTATTTTCCAGGATATAGGCCATGGCAGCATTACAGATGGTATAGCTCCTTCCACTCGCAAATTGGAATCGCCTAATTAAAAATATAAAAGAGAGATCCCTCCCCTAAGTCCTGAGTCTACCCTGATATTAAGTTCCCTGTTTGAGTATTGGAGGCTTCTGCCCCATAGATATTTCTGGGGGACTCCCAATTTCTAAACATGTTAATCCTGGAACACACCATATCAGGTGTGTATTTCTGGTTCCTCTTCCGGATTGATAAACGGAACGCATTTGGAACACACTCCTAAATGAGTTAGTTCCTTCCCTCAGCAAGGGATTCCTTTTGCAGCCATCTCTCGGGGCATTCGCATGCTTTTCCCTCACTTCCGGTTCCAGGCTGTTTATCCTATGTGTGCTCGCGTGCAGGCGGTGAAATGCCTTAACCCGGCGTTTGGTTCATCCTGCAGTTCCAGTTATATTTATATTTCCTTACGCCAGCAAAAGATATCCAAGCACAGCCCATTTTGTGCTCCTCTGTCCTCTATGCATGAGTTTTTCCTAAATAAATCTTTTGACTGATATATTCTGAGTAAATTAGTTTAGCATCTATAATTTGAACTTTGTTTAAAGTGGCTCTGTCACTTATTGCCCTGCCCCCCAGGGATCACTCTATAAGGACTGCCATTTCCAAACTTTTTGGCCCCAAGTCTGGTCCAAATTACCCTTTTCAATATTGTGCTGACCTGCCAGGTCTTCTGCCATGACATTACCATCTTTCCATTTCTAAGATGGCAATGGCTGCCCAGCTTTAGGCATACACATCAAATCACATGCATGGCTTGCAATGGACCTGTGTTGACACTCACAACTGCACAAGAATCAACACAGATAAGCCATCATGCGCCACTCATGTAAGAGACACACTGCTGGAAGGAGGGAAGTACCCTATGTACACCTCCAGTGGCCATTCCACAGATGGCCACTGGAGGTGCTTCTTTGGGCTGTGCAGCACTGCTGTTCAACGTCTCCACGCTCTGCATGGAGACGCTAATTTTCCATATAGAGATGCATTGATTCAATGCATCTCTATGATCAGGTGCTGATTGGTAAAAGCCGGTGTTTGGCCCTGCCCCGGTCCCGCCTCCTTGACAATTTCAGCCAATCCAATGCTTTCCCTTTTCCCATATTATTAGCATTTCTTTAGACACAACTGGATACATCTTGCTACAGTACAATAGAAGTTGCTAAACATCTGGATACACCCTGCTTCATTGATAACTACTAAACCTCCATAAATACATCCTTACTACAAAGGAGAGATATCAAAAATCACATGGACTAACGAAGAGGAAAATAAGCAAACATATTATTAATATATTTATATAGCGCCAACAAATTCCGTAGCACTTTACAATGGGTAGACTAACAAACATGTAATTGTAACCAGACAAGTTTGACGAACACAAAACAAAGAGGTTGAGGGCCCTGCTCAATGAGCTTACATGCTAAAGGGAGAGGGGTAAAGTGACACAAAAGGTAAGGGAAGTATTAGGGACGTAGATTGGTAGAATAGTACTCAATGAAGACTTAGTGTGGAGTGGAGACTGGGTGGAGCGTCTAACAGAGAAGGGAAGGGAGTTCCACAGGAACAGTGCAGCCCTACAGAAATCTTGAATGCGAGCATCAGAGGTGGGAGTACGAACAGAGGATAGACGCAGGTCTTTGGCAGAGCATAGGGGCGTAGACTGGACAAATGTCTCAGACTATAGACCTACTTTGGAAAAAAGACACTGACAAGGTTCCAAATACAAAAGCGAACAAATTAACCTTGATCCCAACCCGCATCAAAGATCCAGCACTAATTACAAAGAACAAACATTATCAACCTCTGGATTACTGCATTAAGGTTGTACTCTGTAATGCAGCATCTACAAAAAATAAATACAACTGCCATTATCTATAATCGTATCAAATCATTAGACCTAGGGTGTATTACAGAAACATGGCTTGATGGAAATGCAGACACAATTCTAGAAGCAGCAATACCACCAAATTATTCAACAATCCACTGTCCAAAGAAAGCTACTGTGGCGGTACTTACCTTATCCATGGGCTGGCCGGGGTCCTCCGCTCGAGCCGCACATGGCTCAATCTTCTCTTCATAGCGAAAAAGAAGGGAGGATCAGAGGTAGAAACTGTTTCATGCCTCACGAACATGATATTGCACTCACAGAAAATAAACTTTTAGCAGGCACATAAAGGTATCTTTATAGGATGTAACTTTCTGTCCTCTTCTTTTATTCCAATTTGCAATAAAAGGTGTTTTACCATTTAAAGTGGTAAATGTTTGTTTTTCTCCCTCTCTTTCCCACATGCTCAATGGAATAAAAGAGGACAGAAAGTTACGTCCTATAAAGA